GTGATTAGTTGCTTTTTTTCTTGCTGCCTTTAAGACTCTCTTTTTATCTTTACTTTTCCATTTTCATTTTAATGTCTTGGTGTGCATCTCTTTCAGTTCATCTTGTTTGGAGCTCTCTGTACTTCCTGTACTTGGATGTCTGTTTCCTTCCCCAGTTTAGGGAAGTTTTCAGCCATGATTTCTTCAAGTAAGTCTTCTATCCCATTCTCTCTTTCTTCTCCTTCTGGGATCCCTATAATGAAAATGTTATTATGCTTAATGTTGTCCCAGAGGTTCCTTAAATGCTCCTCAATTTAAAAAATTCTTTTTTCTTTTTGCTGTTCTGGTTGGGTGATTTCCATTATTCTATCTTCCAGATCACTTATTCGTTCTTCTGTATTATCTAATCTGCTGTAGATTCCCTCTAGCATATTTTTTATTTCAGTTATTGTACTCTTCAGCTCTGATTTGTTGTTTCTTATATTTTCTAATTCTTTGTTGAAGTTCTCCCTAAGTTCCTCCATTCTTCTCCTGAACTCAGTGAGCATCTTTATGATTGTTTCTTTGAAGGCTTTATCAGGTAAATTACTTATCTTCATTTCATTAGGGTTTTTCTTCTAGGGTTTTATTTTGTTCTTTCGTTTGGAACATATTCCTCTGTCTCCTCATTTTGTTTTATGTATATATCTATATCTATCCATCTACCTACCTACTTACATTCTTTTCCAGATTCTTTTCCATTATAGATTATTACAAGATATTGAATATAGTTCTCCATACCATACAGTAGGTCCTTGTTGTTTATTTTACATATAGTAGTGTGTATCTGTTAATCCCAAACTCCTAATTTATCCCTCCCCCACTTTTCCCTTTGGTAAATGTAAGTTTATTTCTATGTCTGTTAGTCTGTTTTGTAAATTAGTTCATTTGTATCATTATTTTTAGATTCCACATATAAGTGATATCATATATTTGTCTTTCTCTGTCTGACTTCACCTAATTTGATAATCTCTAGGTCCATCCATGTTGCTGCAAATAGAATTATTTCATTCCTTTCTTTTTCATGGCTGAGTAGTATTCTAGTGTGTGTGTGTGTGTGTGTGTGTGTGTGTGTGTGTGTGTGTGTGTATATATACACCACATTTTCTTTATCCATTCATCTGTCGATGGACATTTAAGTTGCTTCCATATCTTGGCTATTGTAAATAGTGTCACTCTGAACATTGGAGTGCATGTATCTTTTCGAATTAGAGTTTTCATCTTTTCCAGACATATGCCTAGGAGTGGGATTGCTGGATCTTACGCATCAAGGGTCTTTTATAGCAGAAATTATTTTATAATCTCTGAAATGACTTTATACCAAGAGTAATATTAATAGTTTGTTAAATAACTCCATAGTAAATAACCATGTTTAGGACATGTTTGCCTGCTTGAAAGAAAACAGGGCATTAATTTGGAAATTATTAATTTTTCATATTAATACATGAATAAACATTTAAGAAAAATGAGGGCCATAGTTCCATTTCTTTGTACTCTTTTAAGCAAAAGTTTTTTAACCAGTTAACTATATTTGCTGCCTCTAATGTCTCTCTTCTTATCACCTCTTAAAACTTGCTCCAAACGTGTTTCCCATGAATGCTTCATTAAAACTGCTCTTTTCAGAGATGCCAATGACTGTACTTTTATAGGTCCATCTGTCAGTTCTCAGGCCTCAGCGTAGGTGTGTGTCAGTAGCATTTGACATAGCTGGTTTCTCCCTCTACTCTGGAACAGTTTCTTCACTTTGCTTCCAGGACATACCCTCTCTTGGGTTTCCTCCTCCTCACTGGGCATTCCTTCTCAGTCTCCTTTGCTGGTCCCTCCTCTCCTCCCTGACCTTATAACCCTGGAGAGCTGCAGGGTCTTCTTCTTAGGCCTCTTCTGTTCCTTATTCCCTCCCTTGGTGATCTCACCCAGTTTCATGGCCTGAAATATCATCTACATGCTGCCAAAAGTGTATCTCCAGCCCAGACTCCTCTTCTGAACTCCAGACCTTTATGCAACTGCCGACCTAACATCTCAGACTTAACAAGTCCAGACTCAAACTCCCATTCTTCCTTTTAAAGCCTGCCCCATCCACAGTCTACACCTCCCCAGTGGATGGCGACTCTATCCTTAATTAGTTCCGAACAAAAAACTTACAGTCATCCCTGACTCTTCTTTTGTCTTTTTTCTCACATCCAAGTCTTGCTGGCTCCTCCTTCAAAATATATATGGAATCCAACCACTTTTCACCACCTCCACCTCTCCTAGCCTGGTCTGAGCCACTGTCATCTCTCTCTTGGATAATTGCCATCACTTCTTAACAAGTCGCCCTGCTTCTAACCCTTGCCCCTTGCTTCTACTACAGGCTAGTCTCAAGAATTCAGTCAGAGAGATACTTCAAAAATAAAGTCAGATCATGCTACTCTTCTGCTCAGAAACCTCGCAATGGTGTCCTATTTCACTCAGAGTAAAACAAGTCCCCTCAAAGGCTTATGCAACCCAGATGACCTGCTTCCTCATCACCTTTCTGGCCTCAACTGCTGCTAACTTCACCTTCACTCATTCCCCTCCAGCCATGCTGGTCTTCTTGTTGTTCCTCAAACACCTCAGACCTTTGGCCTGGAAAGCTTTACCCAGATGGCCACATGGCCCGCCCCCTCACCTTCTTCACATGTTCCCTAGGTTTTCACCTTCTCAATGGGGCCACCCTGCCACCTATTTCAACTGAACTTTCCTTCCCTCTTCACATCTAGCACTCTTGATCTCTTACCCTGGTTTACTATTTCCATTTTCCATAACATTTATGCCTTCTAATGTCTATTGAAATCACTTACTGTATTGATGGTTTATTTTCTGCTTCCCACCTATAATGTAGTCTCCATTAGGACAGGGATCTGTTTATTTTGTTCACTGATGTATTCTAAGCACCAGATCAGTGTTAGCCACCTGGTAGGAAATCAGTAAATATTTTTAAATGAATGAAAATTCAAATCTTCAGAGACAGAAATGACAGGTATGAGAAAAGTCTATAAAGACCCTATCCATGTTGGTTCAGTGATTTTAAAAGGGATTTTTATCTCTTACTTCTTAATGACAGAAATGAGCATATAACTTCACAAACTCACAAATTAAAAGCACCCACAACAGTCTGTTCACTTCAACTGTTGCTTTTGAAGAACTTGATAAAATATCTTGTCCTTCTATCCCTTCTTTTTTGGTAAGCCTCCTTTTAAATACTCAAATAACCTGGGTGTTACTGCTGGGAAGACATCAGAAAGGCATTTAGCTGAAGGATAGAATTTATCAGGGCTCATGGTCAAAACAGCTCCTCAATATTTATTCTATATTGTCTTTGAATGATAATATTCATAGTTCCAATCTGGACAGGCCTCATAGTGTTCATGGTACTGTGAAGGGCCTTAAAATTCATGTGATCTGTTTTCTCAGATGAAAGTGGGAAGGATTCTGACAGCAAGTTGGTTTGTGGGTAAAAGCAATGACACCGTTGGCCGAGGTCTGATGGCCACCATAGCTGTTACATGTTTATATTAATACTTCCCTTTTTGAGACATTTCAAGAAGTACTGTTCTCAGTAGTATGAGGCAGACTACATGTACTAATGACAAAATTTCTGAGGTTGCTCTTGAGTGTTTCCTGGTAAACCTAACCACGACATGGTGGGTACTTCGTAAATGACAACATGGTGGGTACAGAGGTTAAAATAGGGTCATTCATCTCACAGTCTTTCTCAATGGAAGGCCCAAAATATTATGTGCTATTTTATTCTCTAGTTTTCACCCATGCTCTTTTCCCCACTCCAGGGAAGCTTTAAGTGGATTTGCTATAACTGTGTTATGCATATGATAGACAGAATTTGTTACTATGATTAAATAATTGATTTATATTTTAAAAAAGCAATTGTCTGTTATTTATAATGGCAGTCCTATTACTTAAAGTAACTTTGTTTGGATAGATCAAAATTCGTCACTCAATTTTTAACACTAGGGCTTGAAATTACTGGGTTTTTTAAAATCAAAAGCATTAGAAGAATATACGATAGTTATAGGAATATGATAACATTATAGGAAGTTTGGACAATTAAAAAAACTACCTGTAATTCCATCTAACCATTATGATCATTTGTGAGCCAATAAACTAATCAGTCTGATGTTGATTGTACTTAAGTTTTAAATCCTCTGCAAACCCACTTATTAATTCATTCTTTTGGCAATAATTTTTCAAGCATCTGTCTGTACCAGGCCCTGTGCTACACTATGGGTATTTTGTTGGTTCACAGGGAGAGGCCAAAGTCTCAACACTTGGCAAACATCAGCCATTCTGTGACTTCCTCTTTTGCCCAGAGGTCTAGAAGCAGCACAGGGGGGATGCCAATCCAATGGTGACATGGTCACTCTTCTGCTTTGCTTGAAGATAAGGGCACTAATTCCTTTGCTTCTCCACCCTTCATCTGCAAATTACCTGGGTCTAGACTGCCCTTAAATCTCTGAGACAGACTGAACCCTAATAAATGGGTTGCTGATCCTAAAATAAAATTGCGAATCAGGTTTGGTGTTTGATGTAAAAGCCTGAGAGACACAGGTTTGTTGCTAATTTAGATTACAAATGTCATCAAAAATAGAAACCAAAAAGGTTAGGTAATTTCTAAATTAAACACTCTTTCTTAGAATAATTACCATGTTACAGCATCTGTGTACTTTGGTACAATTTGAATAACACTTTATTGCTCAGAATAATGTTCTATTCTTGTCACCAAATAATACTTGAGTACATGCTCTTGTACTCCCTGACTGCAGGAAGGGTGTTGCCCTGAATGCTGGTACACCCTCTGCAGTGAAGCTTGGTTTTGATGGAACTTTTCAGGTACTAAAAGAATCCCTTTTTCTATTCCCCATTCATTCACAGGCAAGAGACATAGGCTTTGTTCACTTTTTTCCTAAGTCTAAATGGACTGAGTCAGGCTTGTATAGTCACCACTAAGGACAGACCATGGCAGCATGGAAGATATGATTTGAATCTCCTTTCCATGGAAACTGGCTATGAAAAGGGTAGGTCCATCAATCATAATTTGAAAGGCAAGTTACAAATCTTCTGATGAAGCCGTCTCAAGCTATCATCACAGCAAGTAGAACTGGGAACCCGTTTTTCAGTTGAGGAAATACACCTGGTCATTTTGGATATTTCCGTCTTGATAGCTTAGCCAGTGGGAGAAGCTTCCTGGGCTTAAATAATAGCCTTTCAGCATTTCATGTTTCTAAGTTTGAGTCTGAATCTAAGGAATGCTAATCTGTAACAACAGTTACAGAATTCCACAGAATTTTGTCTAAAATGACACGAACTGGTTGTCATAGTCTGAGAGATAGTTCTTCACTAGGACACAGCTTTGCCTTTAGTCAAAGCTCTTACACGCACAAGCAAACAATGGCTGTGTTTTGTATATTTTTCTGTTACTTTAATGCATTTAAATTTCAATTATGGGTGTACAAGACATGAGTTGTATTATTAAGCTCTCCTTTACGCTTCTTAATGAGGACTATTTTTTTTCTTTGAATTAAAAGCAAACCTTTTTAGCTTAAAAGCCTGTGTATTCTAAAAATGAATAATCACTATACAGAGACCATGATCACTATGCTATTTGTCCCTTAATATGTGCTCTCCTTTCTTCCACAGTAATAGAACCCCTGATTCTTTAGCTGGGCATGTAGCTGTTCAGAGGGGAAAATAGGCTATTTCCCAGTTTCCTTTGCAAAGGACTGGGTGGAAGTTTTATATGGCAACTTCTGGAACTTTCCTTAAGTGATAGTTGGTATGTACCTCTTGCCCCTTCTTTGTCCCGTCCTCCATCCTGCTGCTACAATTGTGGACACACTTGCAGGAACTCTCACTGACATCTTGGCTCATGAAGACAAGGGCAACACAGCAGATGAGTGGGCAGAAATGTCATACCAGCTTGCCTACCTTTGCAGCTTTACATGAAAGAAAGATAAACTATCCTGTTTAGATGACTGCTCTTTTGGGTCTATGTTTTTCAAAATGAAAACTAATCCTCATGTACACAATCACCTATAATGGAAAATAATGGACTGTTTAATCTCACGTGAAGAAATAAACATACTGTAGCAGACACCTATTGGCTCATCTGCCTGACACCATTTTCCAGAACTGACCCTCTCTCTGCCACCATCTACTTAGTTATAGTGAGAGTTTCCGAGCTCTAGAACATGACCTCACCTTTTTCTTTCTTTTTTTTTTTTTTTTTTGCGGTACTCGGGCCTCTCACTGTTGTGGTCTCTCCCGTTGCAGAGCACAGGCTCCGGACGCGCAGGCTCAGCGGCCGTGGCTCATGGGCCCAGCCGCTCCGCGGCATGTGGGATCTTCCCGGACCGGGGCACAAACCCACGTCCCCTGCATTGGCAGGCGGACTCTCAACCACTGCGCCACCAGGGAAGCCCCACGACCTCACCTTTGACTGAAGGATGAGCCCCTGACCCAGCCTGGGCCAATCAAAAGCTTTCCCCAGGAACTTGAAAATAAAAAGGAGAAAAAGAGATTAGTCTCTTTAGAGTATAAGACTACAATAGTAAACACATGAGCTACTGGCAGCTTTGTTTTCCAGCAGGTGTTGGGAGAAGTAGAAGAAAGCAGGCTACAGTGGGAAAGAACAATGAATCACAGTCAAAGAGAGAAGCAGAGGGACTTCCCTGGTGGCTCAATGGTTAAGAATCCACCTTCCAGTGCAGGGGACATGGGTTCGAGCCCTGGTCCAGGAAGATCCCACATGCCTCGGAGCAACCAAGCCCGAGAACCACAACTACTGAGCCTGTGCTTTAGAGCCTCCGAGCCACAACTACTGAGTCCACGTGCCTCAACTACTGAGCCTGCGCGCCTAGAGCCTGTGCTCTGCAACAAGAGAAGCCACTGCAATGAGAAGCCTGTGCACCACAACAAAGAGTAGCCCCTGTTCGCCACAAGTAGAGAAAGCCCCATGTGCAGCAACGCACACCCAATGCAGCCAAAAAATTAAAAGAGAGAGAAGCAGAGATTTAGGGATGGAGGCAGAGAAGATTCCTAGGTTCCCCAAAGTCCTCTCAGGCCTGGTTGTCTCAGCACTGCTACTTGCTTACTTAACATCCACTGTCCACTTTCTCCTTTCTAAGCAATGCTGATGTTCTGAAACCCCCTCTCCCCCCATCCTTAGAGGGGGTTATAGATTGGCTGAAAAAAATATGTGCCTGACAATCCCCTGGCAACTCTATTGATCCAGTGATGGGCATGACTCTTATATTGGCCCAATCTGATTGAAAATTTATATTCCATTTCTAGGGGGGGCAATTTACTCTTTTTCCTGCTGGAGATGAACAAGGAAGCACATAGTCCTGATTGCCACTGTCAGCTCTCTTGCCTCTGTGAAGGCGACCATCCTGGGATGAGGGCAACACGAAGATGGCAGCAAGAAGAATTCTAAGAAGTGTGAGCCTTTGATAGCATTTTTAAAATTATTTATTTATTATTTGGGGCTGCGTCTGGTCTTAGTTGCTGGCACGCGGGATCTTTCGTTGCGGCGTGGGCTCTTTGTTGCGGCACGTGGGCTTCTCTCTAGTTGTGGTGTGCAGGTTTTCTCTCTCTAGCTGTGGCACGCGGGCTCCAGGGTGCATGGGCTCTGCAGTTTGCGGCACTCGGATTCTAGTTGAGGCGCCGGAGCTCCGTAGTTGTGGCACATGGGCTTAGTTGCCCTGTGGCATGTGGGATCTTAGTTCCCCAACCAGGGATCAAACCCACCTCCCCTGCATTGGAAGGCGGATTCTTTACCACTGGACCACCAGGGAAGTCCCTGATGGCATTTTTGAGCCCACCCTGGACTGAATCAAATATATTTAGATAATAAATGACCTATTATAGAAGTCAGGGGTCATCAAAGTTTTTCTTAAAGGGCCAGACAGTAAAAAGTTTAAGATTTGCAGGCTATAAAGTCTTTGTCCTGACGAATCTACTCTGCCATTGTAGCTCTAAATGAGCCTTAGGAAATACGTATATGAATGGCTCTGAATGTGTTCCAGTAAAACACCTGGTGACCAACCTGCAGGCCATCATTTGCCAACCCCTGTTATAAGCCAGTTTGAGTCAGTTTTCTGTTACTTGTTGCCCAAACTACCATATATGATACAGAGGTCCTAGTTCATTTCTGAGGGCCAGCTGCATCTTGCCCTTGGAGTCTATGAGAATCTCCAGTGTCCAGAGCAGATGGCCAAAATATTTAACAAAGGGTACAGCATAAACACCAACCAACCACGAACATGTACAACGGTCATCTTGGGGTGAACTGGCTAAATATTACTTTGCTATTATCTCTCTATGAAGTCCTCTTTGTTACTGAAACCAGCCAGGGTTTATTTCTGTTATTTATAAACAAAAGCATCTTCACCGTTCTTTTTAGATTTTCATTTTGGGTACTCCTTTAATGATTTTACTTTTTTTTTTTTTTTTTGGTTAAGATGCTGATCAGTTTTATATTATTTCTTCTTTTTGAATCTTCCTTTCTTAAGTTCAGTATTCCAGTGACAAGATTGTAATACTGATTCTTTTAAAAACTGGCAGATGAAAACGTTCCCTGATAATGAGCTCTTTTTTGAATTTCTGCAGGCCTTATGATCAATAACACACAGTCTAGCACTTGACACAGGGGGTGTGACTATAAAGTATCAAAAAGATTTTAGCACACATAACCACTGCTCAGACACCCAATGTAGTTTGTTAAATACAGTTGCAACTATAAGTTATATTCTAGCAATGCCGCCGTTTCTCAAAGCATCTTTGGAATTCCTCCAATCTCCCCACTTTATTTTAATATCTGATGTTGATGGAGATCTATCACACTGTCATCAGGTCTGGCTTTGAATGAATTCCTGCCATGTGCAAAAAAGTAGATCCATCTTAAATATTTGCAATCATAGAGTATTTTCTTTTTCCCTTTCCTCTCTCACATAATTATTAGGCACCAAGCTATGCCGAATATGCACCTTTAACTCTTCTAGGTGCTCGTGAGATAAAGTCCCTATTATCAGTGTGTTCATAGTTTAAAAGGAGAGAAAATAAATAAATAAGTTACTATGTCACCCAAATTTGTCCAGGCTTCACCAGTCCATGAGTACAAATATGGTCCTCCTAAGTCAAATAACCCGAATTTCACAAGCTTTGCCCCACTTACATATGTGGGAACATAGCCTCCTGCCAGGCTTTTGACATGGGTTCCCACACTAACCACTTATGTGTTTCCATTTCAGGTCTCCCCTGCTGATCTCTGCTGCTTTCAAGCCTCAAAGATGCCAGGTGCCTGGGTTTTCTTGTTTTTCTTTTTGACTTTCAAAACTTTTCTTTAACGGTGAAGGAAAATGATACTATGTTACACTAGTTTAAAGCTTTTAACATTGTTTTCAAAAAAATTCTAGAAAACTATTTAACAGGGGGTAAATCTCTGTAGTAGGTAGCCTAACTGGCAGCCAGCATCTGTAAAACAGTTCAGAGTAGAGAATTCTTATTGTTTTCCAGACTGACCTGCTTCAAAAAGGGAGGCAAGTTTAAGCCAGTAAGCAAATGCAGAGCTAAAAGACGGGAGGAAAATGGGCCAGGAGAATGGCTGAGACATATTTTCTTCTCAATCGCAGACAGTTGCCCTCCTTTCTGGGGGCAGATTTTAAAAGAACATAAATTTCTGCAGATGGTGCTTCCTGGTCATCACAGCAGCACTGAGCTCCAGGAAGGCAGGGGCTTTGTCCATTTTCTTCAGTATTGTATTCTTTGGGCCCACAACAGTGCCAGACACTTACTAGCAGCTCAAGACATACATGAACATAAGATGAATGAATGAAGCCGAAATAGAGTTAGTCCTTCATTCCACATTTCACTGCTACCCAGCTGTCTTCCACACAGAAATGGGAAGAATGCCCTGCCCTTCACTGGGTGCTACGTTTTGTATTCTGGGTCTTAATGCCCTTTCTCTTTCTAAGTCCTTGGTGATCACAGCCTTTTTCAAATTCTCGCTCAGCTCCTTTCTCTAAGAACTCTGGCCTGGTCCTTGGGTCATTGGTGGGAAAGACATACTTGAACCCCAACTATGGCCCAGGCTCAAACTTACTTTCCTAACTTAAAGATAATATGGAGTGATAAGTATTACACTAGATGCACATACAGGGACATAGTAAACGAGATGAGAAATTGAAGACAGTAGGAAATCATAGGGAGGGGGACAGATGGTGTAGAAAAGATGATGGATAAAACTGCCTGCTTCATAGTTTTGCCTTTTACTTGCCCTGAAAATTTTGTCTTCATAACCTGATTGTTAACGTCCTCCTCCTTGTTTTATAATTTCCTCTTTCCAAGTATGCAATAGGTGCTAGTTAAATATTTGTTGACTGGTTGACAAAGAGAATTAAGACCTTAGTGGAGTCTCATTGCTTTTCCCCTAATATTTGCTTTTCCATATTGATTGCTCTGTGGTCACACCGGTCTATGAGACACTGGATAATGAGAACTCAATGAACGCTCATTTGTTCAAATCAAAATCTACTTAAGGACTACATACAATGGGTCAAGGCTTGTGCTAGATGAAAAGCCCCAAAGATATCTAATAAGATGCTCTAAAGAAGCATACAATGTAGCAGTAGAGATAAAGCAGGTCAAATAACTCTAATGTAAGGTAGAAAGAGTTCCATGGTGTACTAGAAGATCACATAACTTGCTATGGGAATACAAAGGAAGCAAAGAGATCTCTAATTTGTAAGCTCTGAGAAGGGTACACAGAGGAACTCTATGAGGAATAAGTAGGCTTTTAACCAGTGGAGGTGGGTGGGGGGAAGCATATGGGTAGCGGGAACTCCATGAATATATGGAGGTGAAATTCAATCTACAAAGGAATGTATATCGTAGATGTTTCCAGTATTCTCTCCCATTCTTTAGCAGTTGTGTATCAGTCTCTTAAAACAGAACCAGTAGAACAGTGGTACGGCACGTTTTTTGGTTGTTTTTTTTCAAGTTTGCACTGAAGGAGAGGGTTTCATGAAGAATGCTGCTGGCAGTATTTTAAAAGAAAGACTAAAGCACCACGCTGCATGTGAATTGCTCCGTCCAACTGTGCATGCAAAGCAGATGGTTGTTAAACATTTGTTCCATCCCTGGTATTGTCTGCCTTATAAATGCTAAAGAGTAGGTGAAATGGAGAATTCTATCATGTTAAAGGAATTTTTGCCTATAATTTGTTTATAACACACTCCTGACTAACGGGCAAGCTCCCTGCTCCCTGGGGCTGTGCTCCAAGTGCACACACATTCCAGAAAGATTAGCCTTTCCCCTGTTGCTGCTAAGAGCCCTAAAAGCCATGGAAATCAATACATACAATGATTTATCACTGACAGATTAAAATTTTCCATTGATTTCTTCTGGAATGGAAATTTGTGTCCCCCAAGGAGCTTTATTCTTTTAATAGACAACTAGGCACTCAGTTGTAATTTTAAGTTTTGAAATGCTTTGGCAACAGTTTTTATGAAACACACAGACGAAAAATGGCAAGGGGCCCTGGATAGTTTCAAAGTCTGGCTGAGATGTACAGAAGTGAATAGCGCTTGCTTGCCTGGGCCCACTGTGAGCCTTGGTCCCCTGAAGCAGATGCTCCGTCCCTTGCCATTGCCATGTATCTAACGACTGCTGTCAATTTGCAAGCACCAGCAGTCTGGTGGGCTCCTTGTCTTTCTTTCCTTTCTGAAAACAACTGTCTACTCAAAATGTACTCTGAGGCTATACATCTCAAGAGACCAGCAGGCAGTTAGTATTTGGAGGATCCATCATTCAAGCAGGCTTTATACTCATGCTTTTCAAAGTTGAATGTGTGCATGAGTCTCCTGGGGACCCCATTAAAGCTCAGATTCTGATTCTGGGGTGAGACCTGAGATTCTACAGTTCTAGCATGCTCCCAGGGTTACCTGGAGTGGGATTTTAAACTCATCCCTCTCCAAGGTAGGAAGGACATGTGGTGTGTGACAAGGACAGTGTGCTGAGCACTCAAAGGCCACGTGATAACATGTCACCCTGACCAAATGTCCCACAAACATCAGGAACAGAACCCAGAGGGAGAGTCTGAGCTCTTCACTGGGAAAGCCTGACCTTATTTGTTTCTCTGAAGCAATACGGCGATGGGATAACAGAGGAAGAGAAAGAAAATAGATGGTTCATTCCTCTATTCCACATGTTTTAATCCCCTACTCCGTGCCAGGCATTTTCGGCACAGGGAATATAAATATAATAAGAAAATGGACAGAGGAGTAGACTATTTTGGAAAGGCAGACATTGAAAGCATTCCCCTCAACCCCTTTATTTTTGTCAGGAAACTTCTGCTCCAAGACCCTGTAAGGAATCTAGCTGTTCAGCATCGCCCAGGAGAACAACATTATCTGTCGTTGTGCTTTGTGTTCAAAGATACTTCTGGCAATGATGTTACTATTCCTGTGTGTGAGTCTGGCAGAAAGCCCTAAGATGTGACCTAATTTCCAAATAGCGTGTCCTTCTGGTGAGCTGTTATTAGTAAAACCTGCTGTAGTTTATGACTCTACCCTATAGACACTGAGAAAATCGAAGGAAAAGGAGGTTTCCAACTGGATTCGTTTGTGTGACTAGATGATCTTTATGGAATAACAGCTTATGCCCATTATACGAAGAGATGATGTAGAAACCAACACACCACCTTTTCTTTCTGAGAGAAGGGCTCTTAAAAGCCTGGAAGTGGAAGATCATTAGGTAATTTGTTGTTAGCTCAAGAAGGGCACATCCTGGTATATTTATAGTCATGCTGCCCAAGGGGAGAATGTTTATGTATGGACCTGTTTTATCATCCCTTCTCTCCTGAGTGGGTCTTGAAAGTTAAATTATAACATTGCATTATGCTTAAAAGGAAAGGATGCTTCATAGAAAAAGCATTTACTAAGTTCTTAAGGGACTGTTGTGCACTGATCAAATGACAGATGGTGTTCAGTTTTCACAATGTAGGAGTGCTAAAAGAATGTAGGGTCACAGTGAAGGCATGGAAAATCAGAGTAAAATATGGTGCAAGTTGTTCTCAGCCTGGCATAAGAAGAGGAGATACCAGGAAAATGATCCTAACCACCAAGGGAGGAAAGGAAACTGAAATGAAAAATGACAGTACTTCAATTTTTGAAAAGCAGGTCTGCACCCTAATTTAGCTATGGGATTTTGGGTAGGTCACCAGTGTCTCTGGGCCTCGCTCTATGAGTGCAGCAGATAAGAGGTTTTCGATGATCTTTAAGTCCCCTCCCAGCTCTGTAACTCTGAGTGCTTACTCTGTGTTAAATGCACCATAAAACAAACACCTTCAGAAGCACCATCATCTATCTCTGGGAGGGTTGTTGTTTTTTTTTTTTTTTTTAATCCACATTTTGCAAAAGAAACTAAGGTTTGGAGAGTTTAAGGAACCAGGCCAAGCTTACACATCTAATTGGAGACAGAGCTGGGATTCAAACCCAGGCAACTTGACACCACAGCTAATGCTTTTAAGCTTTACAACATGTTGCCTTTATAAGAATTTTATGGGTAAAGAAGGAATATTTTGTCACTTTCTTAGAAAATCAGTTGGTGAGGTAGGGAGGTCCCTTACAATATTTGTTACATACCTGTTTTATAATTCTTGACATATTGGAGTTTGATCCTGATAAAGGAAGAGGTTGTAACTGGTGTCATAATCTAATGTCCAGGAATTTAAGATGTGAGATGAGCAGCGCACACCTTCCTCAGTTCCTGCCTTCCTCAGCTCACTTAGCTGCAGGTATTGATAGCTTTACTTCTCAGGTTCTGGCCTGCCCAGCTGAGCCCACTTTGTCAGGCCAGGCTGCTGAAAAGTAGCCACGGGAGCACTGACTAGTGGCATCTTAGGATCCGTGTTCCTATCTCCTAGACTCGAGATCCTGGGAGCTGGGAAGTTCTAGGCTGCAGACAGCAGCTTCCTCTCACTCTCTTCCAACAAAATTTCCCACACCCACATGACAGGGTTCCAGTAGAGTTTCCTAGTTTGCACATCGACTTTCCTCCTGAGACTAGAATTCTGCACTAAACACCACCCTGCCTGGATGGGGCTAGGCTACCCTCCCCACCCCTTGGAGGAGGTGTGACAAAGGGCAGAGGTGGATGCCACCTTCATCATTTTTGCATATTTGCATCCCTCTTGTATATATTCTTATTTACTTATATATACTCTTATTTACTTATATATATTTTTTAAACAGACTCACTTTTAAAATTTAAATAGCTTAACCTTTTTGAGAGAGAAA